TTGGTCTGTGCAAGATGAGCTACTACTGAAAACCATTGTTTTTAGCTGGAGAAGAGTCTAGGACCCAAAGTCATCACTGGGAAGTTGGGTAGAGAGTCCTAAGTGCTAGTCTAGCTGTGGTTTGCTTTGCCAGCATTGTCCTGTGTAGCTCTTTTGCCAAGGCTTTTAGGTGCTGAGTAAGAGGAGCGTTCAGGGAAATCTGTAGCACGTATACATGGTTAGAGGCACCAGAGGGGCCATGCAGAGCCACACCATAGGCCAATGCAGCTCTGCAGCCAGTCGCTGACCATGGTCACAGCAGACAAGTAAGCAAGACTTTAAACATATTTCCCCTAGAATTCTTCCAAAAATTTTTCTCCCAAAAATTGCAATTTCTGATCCAGAAAGGTTATTCTAYCTGCAGTGGTAGAATATGAACTCATCCAGTCGCTTATGATCTTGTGTGCAAGTTTTGCATCTGCATGGTCCCATAGCTCCTTTTGGCTGCCCTCTCTGTGAAGAACCACCCGCTTCTGCTAGCTGTGACCTGACCACCTAGCTCAGTGGGATGCTGAGCTCACCTAAGACAACAAACTCACCTTCCCTCCCTACCTTCTTATGCCAGTCTACGGACCTCTAGCACATCCATCCTTGGATGTCTTCTTTCTTGAACTGGTGAGTCCGGCTCTATCACGGCGGCTCTTGCTTTGAAAGCTGTTCCATATCTCTGAAGATCCCAATCACCCATCGTTTTCAGTCCTTATTTAAACACATTATTCACTTGTTACTAGTGTTAGGCAAAACCTGCTATTGAATTGAATGATCCTTTTCCAATTGTTATTGAATTTCTCCATTTTTTTCCCTATATGTGAGCAGATAGCAGCAGCCCTCTCACTACTCTTTCACTCTACAGCCAGTGGGAAATTCTTGGCCCTACGACACTGTGCCACATCTCGTGCTATGCAGCTCTGCTGCCAAGGGTGTTACACCTCTGCCATGGTTTGAATTTATGCAATTTGTGTCTCATCTGCTGGGTGATGCCATCACTGGGTGCCATTAGCTATGGTCTGTAGCTATGAGACCCATCTTAAGCCTAGCACTAGGTGGCCCAGGCTGCCTCCAGGCTTGCAAACCGCCACATGTCTGTGCTTTGTTTTGGTTTTCCTTGCTGTATTAGCTTGCATTTTCCAGGTTAAATTTTATTACTATATCCTCCAGATAAGCCTACTGCCAGCATGAAAGAGTCCTTGCCTCCTACTTCAAGATTACCTGCAAATTTAATTTGGGAGCTATTCATCCTCTCCTGATACCCACCATTAAGAGTAATGAAAGCAGAATTTAAGCACTGAGATTCCCAGCACCCTTTCGATTCCTCTCCTTATTCCAGTATATGGTTGTTGATCGTGCTGTTTTATTTATTTACAGTCCTTCAAGTAGTGTTGGGGATACAGAGCAGCTCTCTGACATGCCTATTAATCACCTCCCCTGAAACGACTGTAGAAAAGATATTGGGCTGTGAGCCAGCGCTTTTAGGATCATGGTAACGGTTTGCTGTCGTATTTCAATCACTTGTGCTGTGCAAAACAACCCAATATGTCCCTCCTCCGGGGTGTTGAGTAAAGATTGCAGCCCCTGTGATAAGGAAAGATGCTGACAAACAGAAATCTGCAGGGAGCTGTGCAGCAGGGAAGAAAGGGCAAGCGTGTAGCCGCACTCCGATGCTCTTATCATGATAATAACATAATTCTGGGCTGCCCAGCGGGCTCAGTGGCCCGTAGTCCCAAATGAGCCTGGGGGATGTGGCAGCTCTTGGGCTACATGGTGGGAACACAGTGTCGTGTTCCCATGCACACCATGTTGTGGGCAATGCAGCTCCCAGGCAGATCTGGCATTTCCTTTGGTTTCCCCTTACGATTATCCAAGTCTTTGAGCCCAAAGCCTTGTGTTAGATTCCTAGAGAACCGGGGGGACAGAGCAAATGAAATGGTCCTGAATATCCTCATTTATAAAAATATGCATGCTCTAGGTGACCCTGTGTGTGCAGGRGGACTGGACTAGACGATCTCTAGAGGTGCCTTCCAACCTTAAGGATTCTGTGATTCTGTGATTCTGTCTCTCTGTATAATTTCATAGCCAATGTAATGGAAATGCAAGGCATGAGTAGGACATAGCCACTACCTTAAGGAACAAGAAGTTGTATTTTTCTTTCCAACTTTCCAGTCTTCTACCCCTCTAAAAATTTTCATTAGCTCAAATTAGCTCAAATTTCATTAGCTCTCCTGAAAATAAATACGTGTTTTGCGTAATGAGATAGAAGACTCCAGAACAGGGCTACCTCAATAAGCTAAAGCTCCTTTAGTTTCCTGCTTACATGTTTTTCATCCTCCTTTTGACAGAGTCCTTTGGTAGCATCATTTCTTGATAAATCTGTAATGYAAAGAATTTGCTAGATTCAAGAGTCTGGTTTCTTGCCCTTCCCCCTCCTCTTCTGTTTTTCTTTTTCTTTTTTTGAATGGGAAACAAAACACAAGCACTAGGCTAAGAAGTAGGAGAACATTTTTTCTTGCCAAAACCAGAAAGTGATCAAATTCCTGGAGCCTATAATTAAACTGAGAAGTCTAAGAAACCAAAATTTAAATTCGGTATGTTTTATTTGGGGCTCTTTGCTAAAAAGTATCACCACTGTTGCATTGGCTTGTACTTAACGAAATGACCTTTTAAGAACTGTATGTTCTGTAAAAAGGCARCTTTTTAAAACATTCCATATTAAAAAGTTGTATACATTTTTGCAAAGGCTTAAGACAACATCAGATTCTGAGAGATCTCTTTAACAGCGGTGAATTTAGGCCCTATAATTTTGGCCACTGGAGGGCTCCCCAAATATTTAATCAATTTAGTAGGTCAAACAGAATGAAAGAAGCTAATGGAGCTAAATCAAGGTGGTCCCAGTCTTTACCACAGCCTCTATAAATACTAGATTTAATGCAAATCCCAGGTATTCTATGCATATTTTTCAACCAAATTACTAGAAAAATAACATTTCAATATTGTTGGTGGAAAAATATTCTACTCTGACCAGGCCACATAGCAAGACTGTAGTTATATGTAAATATAAACACAAGAAAATTAAATTTTCAGAACTTGGTCATATCGCAATGTAAGCCAGATTCCCCATGAGTCTTTAATATAGCAGTCAGCAAAGGTSAATATCACATCTTCTTCTTGGAGGAGCACGTGGTTCGTGGGAGGGTCATGTCCTTGGAGCATCTCCTGAGAGATGACTTGTGCAGCCAGGTGGTTGGAAGTCTGTTCCAATGGGAGTCTGGGCTGCAGCCTGTGACCATACAGGTCGTGGTGTCAAGTCACAGGGGCCTGGGAAGGTCTGTGTCTCCATGTAAAAGCTGTGGAGCGGCCTCCTGGGCACACAGCAGGCTCTGGCTTTCCTTGTCTCTACAGTGCTTTTATACTGGTGCCTCATACGAGATCTCTCTGGGTGTACCTGGGCAGCTAGGATAACATATGACACTTTGCTTCCTTCATATARGGTTCCTGCAATAAATCAGCCTACAACGGTTGTAGCACATCTTGGCAAGCACATGCAGTGCACCAGACCACGAAAGGCATGCTGTGCATTCCCAAAGCACTTGCAAAGGTCAAAGAGAAACGTGTCGCCTAATTCCCCACCGAGCTGGGGAAGATGAAACGAGTGGGACCAACATCTCCCTCAACTCAGTCTCCTCTGTGCAGGGCCACTGGTAGCCTGGCTGGCGCTGCRGTGAGCTGTAGGTCTAGGCTCCTTTGGAGAGAAGCGTATTTACTGCTAATAAAATATTAACCCAGATGAAGAGCTGGTAAAATATTTAAATCTCAGGCATTCCTCCAGTCTTAGGCTTCCCACTTGGCTCTAATCACAGCCATGATTGGCACCTGATCAAACACGTTTCATAGGTACAAAGAGGCTAATTTATAAAGAAGTATTAATCCCTCTACAAGATCAGACTGGTTGGGATTTCTCTTTCCTCTTTTCATGCTACAAGACTCTCAAACTTTTCTCTATGTAGAGCTTTTGGGGAGAGCTTTTCCACCAGCATGCCTTAGGGCCTTTTGATGCCACACATTTTAAGCTAGAGGCCTGGAGGCTGGAAATCACTGTTTAGCCTGGAGGCGATTGCTATTCAACTCTTGCAATGAAACACACATAGATGCTCATCCCATGGTGAGGAAGGTCACATTCAAGTGCATATAACACAGGAAAACAATTCATTTTGTTTCAAGAAGTCCACCTGACTGTCTCAYCAGTGTCTCTTAATACTCTGTGGGAAACCTTGAATGATCATTCCCCATACATCTTCTTTACCCCCATTTTGGGACTGAAGTATCCTAGTTGCCATCAGCAAGCTGAGAAAACACAGCCACATTTTTAAAGGAAGAAGTCTGCAGTTTGGGTCTGGAGTTTGGAATTGATTGCTTCTCCAGCTTATCTCCTTTCTCAGATTGCAATTTCTCACTTTGAATGTGGTTTAGTCGACTCCAGAGCCAAGCTGCTCTGAGTCTTTGCATCCCTCCACAGGAGAACATTCCTCATCCTGCAGATTTTTCATTTAAATAACCAAAGACAGTCAAACGGTGGGGAAAAAAAAAATACTAYAACTTCTTTGAGAAGGGGAACTATCCCAAAAACTCGGAGAAAATTGGCTAGAAACTATCTACGGAAGTTGAGAGACTTTTTTCTATCTATCTGTTTGCCAAAATCCCCCCACATCTTGCTCAAACCATGTGGCCTGCTGCACGGTCTCCCCTTCCCATGCCACCAGCACTGCAGGGAGCTCCTGCTGCTCCACACCAGGGGCTAACATGCAGAAGTCCCTGGATTTGCCCTATCCTGTAATTGCTGATTGACCTCCCTGCRCTTCCTCCCCAGACTTACCTCGCATAGCTAACTTACCTTGCACTCAAAGCACCAGAGCCACGCAGCAGTATTTTAAGACAAAGCCTTTTCTTCCAAGCTGGGGTCTTCTGGTGCATTTGGAAGGAAGATGTCCTCCCAGTTCACCTTGGAAGCAAAAATGCTGGCACCTAATAAGGAATAACAAACAAATTCTGCTCAGGTCCTCTTGGTGTATCCCACAGCATGTGACATTTCAGGCATCATTGCAATGCCAGATTGACAAACACAYGTGCATTTGAGGGAAGCACCTTTCAGGCTCACATATTGATCATTAATTAAACGTATTAATAAAAAAAAAAAAAATAACAGTTTGGCTTTAGAGCTATCATAGAAATTTAAAAACATTAAGTGTCCAATTATTTCCTAGAAAAGCTTTGAAGTGGTGCTTTTAAATCCTGCTCTCTAGCTGCTATCAGTGAACTGCAGAGCAGAGTATTTGCATAGCCCATGCACAGCTGCTGGCAGACTTCCTGGCTATTATTTTATTGGGTCTAGATGCAGATTGCAGCAATAATATAAAGGTTTGTCAAAGTGTTTTTTACTCTTTGGCTCTAAATTTACATTACAAATGACTCTTTTTAAGAGCCAGTTAATCTCAGCTTGGCCTGCTGCCTGAGAATTTTTCTGTGTGGTGTTTAATATTAAATATAGCTCCTGAAGATTTCTTTATTTGCTTAAGTGTTTGTAATTATTTCTCTTTTTATTACCATTTGAAATTGAGTATTTCATGAGGACATAGGTAAGAATGAGATGCTTTCTACGTTTCATGCAAAAATCACCATCATTCTGCTAATCACTGAAAAGCTATTTCTAATAACTTGGTCTGTAAGAAGATAAGAAAACAAGAACTAAAAGGTTTCTGTAAGAATGCCTAGAGAAATGGCAGAAACATGATACAGCTTTCAAATGGAGACAAGGCTTCATTCTTTCTATCTTGTTTGATAAAAAAAAAAAGAAAAGAAAATGAACCACATAGTGAATACTGAAGCTTCATGTTACTCCTGTCAAATCTTTAGTAAGTGGGTGTCCAGGGAATTAGATCATAACCAGAGGGAATGTTCCTCTCATTTGAAAGGTTTCTTATTGTGTTTATTAATTTAACCACTGACTCCAAGAAGGCAAAGTGTGCTGTTTTCAGAGGGATTCAATAAAATTAGAACTGCATGACCCTTTACAGGCTATTTTGAGAGACACCTATCTTATGCCTCAATGGAATAGCCAGAGAGAATATATGGAATATAATTATTCATGAAAGAGAGCTAAATCACTGAGCAGTTACACATCACTTAGGCTGAAAATATCTTCAATTAAGGTAGGAATGAAATAATATTACATTTTATGCAAGTTCTCATCAATAAGCCTGACACATGCCAGCTCCCATTTAATAACATATTTTACTTCTAATAATTCTACTTTTTTTCCCWGGTTCAAAAAAATGTGGAAGAGAGCTCAACTGTGTACAGAAGTGAAATATAGTTTTAGGAGGAATTTAAGGTTTCATGTTGGAGGGCACAGAATAGCCCCAGCTGAGGAAGTCAGGATGCATTTTCCCATATGGAAAGGAGCACCAGCATCACCACGATGTCCCATCATGAAATACAGAAGGGACAAGAGAGGGCATTAKTTGGAACTGACCTGACACGTCCCATTATTCATTAAGCTCTGTTTTTGCCCCACGGATGTTTGGAAGGTGCTTTTTGTGTGAGCTAGTCCCAACTGCCTTTAAATGAACCTGTATGTGCATGCAATTCTGCGTGCTTGCAGTGTGCACTGCATCATGTTTCCATGAATTTGGCAAAGAACTGTCTCCAAAGCATTAGGCTTTTTTAAATTAAGTGAATCACATACAGCTTCGCCCTGAGAAGCAGATGGGAAGAGACAGAGAAACCAAAGCAAGGAGCATGGAGTGGGTTTGAATTGGGAAGTGACCCTGAATCGTGGGCAAGTGGGAGCTCCTTGCCAGCCCACATTGCCCTTTGCAGCAAACTGGGCCATGACGGGTAGTGGCTCCAGTGGCAGCTTGCAGCCCTTTCAGGCAGCTAAATTCCAGCCCGATACCATCAGTGGTTCAGTGAGGCCTGGTGCACTTCAGTAGCTGCAGGGCCAGCTTGCTGCAAGCAAATCCAATGGAAGGGAAGGGAAGGGAA